TTGCTGGAAAAGGCACGATTGGGCACGTTTCTGACGGAATTCAGGCCAGAAACAAAATTGGATAATAGTAGTTGCTCCAATCTCTTTGTTATATAACCGGCTTCCGCATTGCATAACAGCAAGAGTTTAAATGAAGATGTGGTAGTTGGAAGAATAAGGGTTATACTTACTTACATACAAATTTAATTGTAGATATGATGCGTGCTATGTAATATGTATGAAATTCTAAAATAATGTTTTTCGCTTAGAAGGAAATAATTAACCCTCTTATGCCCAGTCAATTTGGCGAGGTCAACTAAAAGTTCCATAACAACGGCAAAAATTAATTTAAATAAATACTTTCAAATTGTAATTCTCTGTGGCAGCATATGTTTGTATGAGTCGCATGGGTTTTGTTTTCTTTCAATTTGCAAAAAAAACAGTCCAAAGTCCATTTTGCAGTGCTTGGATGGTTAGTAAATAAATTTCTTCAAACAGTGATTTTCGTTAAAAAAAAGTATATGTTGTAATTCTCATCGCGCACAACTAAAAAAATACTAGTGAGTAAGAAATTCAGGTATCTACTAAATAGTGCGAAAATAGGACTGCCGAGAGAAAACTCGGACCCCGGCCGAAAGGCGAATTGCAGATTGCTAGTGCAGCATGAGCGAGTTGAAATGTATTTCCGAAATCGATTTGCGCTCTCTCGATTGCAGTCACATCTTGCAACTTTTATTTCTGAAGCTGATTTCCGAAATGTGACAGAAAGGTCTTTCTGCCTGTTCACACATCGGAATAAAATGTCTCTTTCTCCATTTGACAGTGAAATGCGTGGAAAAGCTGGAACGCTCTTACGGCAATCACACTGAAGGAACGTTCAGCACTAGCCATAGTAACAGGTATTCTGCAAAATATTCGCAAAGCGACGCAAATGTTCGGAAAAATGGTTATTGAAATGGTTTCAAAATTAAATTGTACAAAAATAAGAACAAGTTATGATTCAGATATTTTCCCCCTTTTGACGGGCCTGTGAAAAAATATACCGGAGTAAAGTAAATAATACTAGGGCTGTTCAGGATCTTGTGCAAATGCTTTTGGATTTGCATATTCGTTGCCTTTGTAAATTAACAACAATAAAATGCACACGGTTGCCATGTCAGCAAGCAAAAAATTTGAAAATTTTATTTTATTAATTTTATACAAAAATTTTGTTGATGTTATAAATAAAGTCTTTACACCGGTCGATTTCTGTCGACTGGAAAATCGGCTCAAAAAGTCGTTCAAATATTCGACTCGCGTAGCCGCTACAAAAACAACTCGTGCAAAAGCAGCTTAACCCTCTACCGCATACGAAGCCACATGTGGTGACACCACTTTTGTGCGAGTGGTCGAAAAAGGTCTACTCGTGTGCGTGGAATTGCACTGCGATACATGAAAACTAATGAAAAACGCAACTGTTATTTATAAAATAAAAAATGTTTTCTTAATTCACTTAATTCATTTCCTTCCGTGTCAACCCATAACTAGTTTATCGATACCCAGCAGTTTTCAATTGTTTTCATACAATTTTCCTTATATTACTTTGCGAAATAATATTTCAAATAAATGACTTTGAGTCGTCAATAAATAAATAACCGGGTTTTCACAGTTAAAAATTGTTTATTCATCTTCTACATAGTTTATGCAGTAGATTGTGTTCGTATGGAATAGTAGCTTATGTCGAAAAGCTGACTTTAGTATACTCACTGGCGCTGAGCCGTTGAGGAGCTTTTGGCAAATAAACGCGCAAGAAGTAGTTCCAATACTACCAAGTCAATATTCTTACTAAGTCTCATCAAAAAATTCCTTGTCATTTACAGACTAAAGGGAATTCCGCATTATACTAAAACCATACGAACACATATATTTTTTGTAAATTCAGGATAATAGCGAAGAAAATGAGTAATAATCAAGGCATATCAATCAGGTAGTAGCACTAGAGCAAAACCTAATTTGTGTGTATTTTGTTATTCCTTCTGGTATCGAAGGTGTCAAAAATTGTTCTGATTTTTTTCTTCTAAATCAAAGCGTGCCATGTGAAAAGCAAAAAAATAAAAAATTGTAATTGGAAAAATATTAAAATTGTTGCAACTTTCTTTCTTGGGAAATTTGTTTGCTTCTCGAAGCACAGATCCATCCTTTGCAAGTCCCAGTAATCAGCGGTTGTGCTGCTGAGTTGGGCGCTTGTTTTGTATGAAAAAAGGTTTCACGTGCAAATAACTTTTAACAATTTAGAATTTTTCTGAAAATAAATTAAAAATATTTGACATTTTCGAGACCAAGTAATTTGAAAAAATCAAATCAGCTGCTCTAATGATACTACCTGTTCAATCTGCCTTGGCAGGTTGGCCGGCCAAGCTGTTCTAAGCCGGCGGTACAGATCTGGCTAGGAGAAGTACGGGCTTTTTAGCGCAATTTGGTTTGATGAATACAAGCTAGAAGATTGGAAACTTGTTAGCTCTAGCCAATCCACAATAAGGTTGATGCAACTGTTTGCACCAAGTATTATTAATATTCCTAATGAAGTCCTCCTGACTTTACGGTTTGAAATACTGGAAAAATCTTAGCAAGGGGAATTTTTGTTGGAATGCCAATTATGCAGATGTTTCTACAGAAGAAGAAGAAGTCCAAACATCGAAAGGGAATACGCACAAGAATAATCCGAGCGTCAGCAGTGAGTCGTGGGTATTATTACATGTTATCATTTATAAGTACTGATCTACACTACATAAAGAAAAAGCATTTGAATTGTCTCTAAAGAAATGCGTAAAAGTTTCTTGAGTCTTTCAAAAAAAAAGCACGAGCTCAAAAGAACTTCGGAGAGTTCAACTGGTGGCGTTACAGCAATAAAATTGAACGTTTATTAAAAAATAAAGTAATCGAAATCGTGAAAGAAAGAAGAAACTTCTCAAATACCAACTACGGTTACACCATACATGAGTGTCCAGGACACAAAGACACAGTACAGTCGAATAAAAGCTATGGTTCTAATAGAGTATATTTTATTATACTAACAAGTTATCCAACCAAGAAAATTCGATAAACTATTATGCCAGCAATCAAAATATTCCCGAAAAATTAGTCGAAAATATGCAGTTTACGTTGCTGTAAA